TGTAGGCAGCATATGTAGGGGTCTTGTTTTCTTATCCACTCAGCCAGTCTATCTTTTGGTCGGAACACTTAATTCTTTTCCATTTGAGGTACTTGATAGGAATGTAGTTATTACCATTCTTTATTCCTGTTTTTGATACATGTTTTTTCTTCTTGAAGAAGTTCCTCCAACATTTCCTGTAATATTGGCTTAGTGTTGAAAAATTCCTTTAGCTTATTATTGCCTGGGGAGCTCTTTATCTGTCCTTCAACTCTAAATGATAGCTTTGCTGGATAAAGTATTCTCAGTTGTAGATCCTAGGTTTTCATCACATCGAATATTTTGTGCCAAACCCTTCTGTCCTTCATAGTTTCTTTTGAGAAATCAGCTGCCAGTCTTTTGGGTGCTCCCTTGTAGGTAACTAACTGCTTTTCTGTTGCTGCTTTTAAGATTCTCTCTTTGTATTTAACCTTTGGCATTTTAATTATGATGTGTCTTGATGTGGGCCTCTTTGGGTTCCTTTTTCTTAGGACTCTCTGAGTTTCCTAGGATTGCATGTCTATTTCCTTCACTAGGTTAGAGAAGTTTTCCATCATTATTTCTTCAAATAGTTCTTCAACTTCTTGTTTTCCTTTAGATACCCCTATAACACAGATATTTTTACATTTAATTGTGTCCTGTAGGCTCCTTAAATTATTATTATAGCCTCGGCTTCTTAGTTCTTGCCATTCTGATTGAGTGTTCTTGGCTTCTTCATGGTCTATATCAGTGGTTTGATCCTCTTCTTTATCAACTCTTTTATTACCTCTGATATACTCTTCATCTCAGATAATGCAGTGTTCATTTCTGACTGTTTTCTTTTTATAATTTCCATTTCCATTTATATGTTTTTTATCTCTTTGTTAACGTTCTCACTGGATTCATCTACACTTCCCCTAAGTTCATTGAGCATCTTTATAACCAATGTTTTGAACTCTGCAACTGTTAGATTACTTGACTCCATTATTCCTGGATCTCTGTTCTGTTCTCTCATATGGTTTCTGCTTCTTTGTCTTCCCATTTTGACTCCCTTGCTGTGTCTGTTTCTATGCACTAAGCAAAGCTCCTAAGTTTTCCGGTCTTATTAGTGCGGCTTTGTATAATAGGTGTCCAGTGGCACAGTCCTGAGAGGGGTTCAGCTGCAGGCCAAGTTTAGCCCAGCCTGTGCCCCTCCAGGGCCACCTGGAGATTCAATAAGCAATCTCTAGATGCCTTGCTTATGGTTGCCTCAAGAAACCACACCAGAGGCCACTTGCAATCAATGTGGATCTTGGCGCTACTCAGCAAGAAGCACTGGACTGGACTGAGGACACACTTGAACATGGCTTGGGTGGGGCTGCAAGTTGGGGGAGGCAGAGTTTCAGGGAATCCTTTGGACGGAGCAATCTCTGTTATCCAGTTTGATGATGTCTCAGCTATGGTGGCGCTGAGTCTGCCCCAGGCTCTCACTCTGACAACTCTCTGGTGCCCCCGCCCTTGCAGCCGACCTGACCTGGCTCTGATGCTCAGAGCAAGCAGGTCCATCACCGTGAAAGTCTGCTCACATACACGCCCTTTTAAGAGGGTCTGCAGCTGCTGGCTGCTGCAGCCTCTGTCCTACTCAACCATTCTGGACTGGACATCCTCACGTCTTCGCCCCCTCCTACCTTCTACTGTTGCAGGGTGATTAATTATTCCTCTCCCTAGTTGTAGGGAGAGATCTAGATTCCAGGCAACTTTCCTTGCTATTTGATTTGTGTTTCTGTCACAACTTTGATTTGGTCGCAAGAAGGATGAAAAGCCTCCGTCATCTACATCATTTTTTTCTGAACCAATAGATGCGTTTTTGAGATTACTTTATATACTTCTGACTTGTTGTACTGATTTTTTGCACTTGCTTTTGCAGTGGACCATACACAATATCCCATGATTCCCATTTTGATCAAGTGCTGGCATTTTCAAGACGGTATAAAAGTTAGAGAGTGTACTTTAATAGTGAACGTCTTTCTTTCCTTTTACTTTCTTCCCCTGTCTTCAAAGCTAGGTGAAATTGAATGATTTTCATAGGGAATAAATCTGAAATCTTGACATGTTAGGTTCTTGAGACCAACCAAGTCAAGTAAAGCTTTAAAGAAGCATGTGTGCCATTTTGATAAAGTGGAAGAAAGTTGTATTTCTGTTTGGTATGTTAGAACACTTGATTAGAGAGACCATCTCTGTGCTTAAAATATTAGTTTAAGGAATAAAAAATTTTCTTCCAGTTCACATGTGTTTCTTGATTCATGTCATATTCACCTGTAGATTTTATAGTACTAAGCTAAAAATGAAATTAATATAGCCTTTTGGGATATGTCCATTTATTAAAAATAATATTTCAGTGCTACCTTGACTACAGTGCAGAAATCAGTAAAATGGAAATAACACTTATTGAATTATTATTATCTTCTGTACGTTGCATTAATTGCACATATTTTGCACATTGTTCCCTTCAACCAGAATGAAAGCAGCACCTGTGACAAGAATTTATACTTTGTAAGGGCAGAGATTTTGGTCTATTTTATCTATATTCTGTTTTTTTCCTCATCACCATTGATGAGAACAGTGCCTACCACATACTAAGTATGAAGTATATGTTTTTTGAATAAATGAATTATTTAATCCCCAACAGTTCTCTAAGGCAGATAGTACTATCCACATAATGCTAGTAGGTGGTAAAGCCAGGATTTGAACTTATGCTGACAGCCATTCATTCCATGTTGGGGAGCAATGTGCAGTCCAGTCAAGAGTGATTTTCAGTTCCTGCCTTATATATTGTAGATATCATTTATGTAAAGCATTAAATAATAAGATAGCAGTTATTTGTAGACAATACAAGAGATGTGAAAAGAAAGGGCTAGAAGAATTATAAGTAATGGAGATGTGAGTGAATACATATAAATCAACCAGAGCTGTGCTTGCACATACCAAATGATTAATACATGTTAGCTATTATTGTCACTGCTACTACTGTTATGTCACCATTGTCATTTTCATCATTTTTTTTATGAATCCTATGAACCATACTCTAATAAAGTGTTCACATCTGGACTAGAGTGGTCAGTGGATTAGGTTTCATGAACAAGATGGTTCTTATGCCTTAGAATTTTGGGCAGGTGGGGACAGGAGAGGACATACTTGAGATGAGAAGAGTCCTATAAACATGGGAGCTGAGGTAAAAAATGTGTGTTTCCTGATCTTCAGACAGCACGGAGATCAATATGTCTGGTGCAGAAGGGGCATATGGGTTACTAGAGAGAGTAAAGATTAAGATTGATAATTCAGAATTTGTTTATTATGTTGTGAATGCTACATTGTATTTATAAAATTGGATTTGAAACTCTGCCTGTGTTTCTATCTGTGAGTCACCGAATGCCCTTTAATGAGAAATTATATGGTCATCTTTTTAATGTTGATAATCTGTAATCACAACATGTATCTTTTTGAGATGTGTTTGTGCCTTTATTGTCTTATGGCTTGTGAAACAAACTTTATCCTGATAAAAAGGCCACTTCCATTTGGCCTTGTATTTTGAAATTTAAGACCCTCATTTATGATTATTGACTCAAATGTATCTTGGAGGATTAGTAAGAGTATTACATGCTGCCATAGTCTCCTTAACAGGCTGTAATTCTCCAGGGGACCAGGCTTGTGCCTTATTCATCCTTGAATCTCTTCCAGCACTGAACACAGTTGCTAGCATAAACTGAGGATGCAATAAATTGTGGTCAAATTGAATTTTCAGAGTATGCGAGCCTAGTCACCTCTGCACTTACAGGAGTAATTTGCAGCAGAGCTATATTTTTTTGAGTTATGTAACTCATTTAATCTTGCTTTTAGGTCCAGCCTGATGACGGGAGGGCCTAAGCGAGGCATACCCAACCCTTGGCTTTTTGAAGAGCCAGAGGAGACCAGAGGTTTGGGTTTTGATGAAATCCGGCAACAGCAGCAGAAAATCATCCAAGGTACTGAATACCCAAGGAGTGTAGGCTCAGAAATTTTGTCAGATTTTTACTATAACATTGAATATTTTTTATACTCATTGAAGATCAGAGGGAGAAATATTGGTCTTATAAAGCCCTTGGCAATTTCGTGCCTTAGGATACCTGAGGCATAGACAAATGATGTCATCTGTCCAGGTAACTCACAAAAATAGTGCTTCTCTGCTGAGGGAGAGCACGTAGGCAGCTCTGAATCTGAGAACCCAGATGAATCTGAGGCCTGTGCCCCTTCTTTTTCTCCACAGTTGGGAATTATTCTCCAAACAGAAACCTCTATCTTTTTCTTATATAAAATTAGTCAGTTCAGCTTTTACTTTCAGGTTCATCTTGCCTAGTGGCTTTTAAACCTGCTAATTATTTTTTTTCATCTATTTTTATTTTTTATTTATATTTTATTTTATTTTTTCTTTAGGTGAGGCAACCCTTGGTTGACCTCACAAATTGCAAGGACCTTGTCAGCTTACAATCCCTTATGTTTTTTATGCCTACGGCACCTGGTCTTCCTAGGTGGTCCTCCCACCCAAGTACTAACCAGGCCCGACCCTGCTTAGCTCCCAAGATCAGATGGGATAGGGCTTGTTTTTACCTATTTTTAAAATTTTAGAAGTAATGCATGATTGTTTTACAAAGTTCAAACAACACTGGGGTATATAAAATGAAAAGCTCTCCATCTTGCTTCTCCAATCTCAAATTGTAAACAAATTAATATTTATATTTCCTCAGGCTTTTTTTCTATGTATATACATATATATTGAGTATAAGCACATATTTAATTTGCATAAATGGGATCATGACATATATAATTGCACAACTTTAAAAATGTTTTACTTAATATGTATCATGGACATTCTTTTGGGCTAGTATTAAGATATGTTAAATCTTTCTAATGCTGCTTTTTAAAGACTGCTTTATTGAGGTACAGTTGACATTTATCATAAATAGCACATATTTAAAGTATATGATCGATCATCAGATAGGATAATCCTTACCTGTTCCTCCTGTGGAGGCCAGATTAGAACATGATTGAATTTGCATGATTCGTGATTATCATTTCTGCGTAATCAGGGTTCACAACAAAAAAAGGAATATACTAAAATAAGACAAGATAAAAAGAAAAAAGGAGAAAGGCAAAAGATGTCAGAGAGAGTGAAAAGAGGAAAGAAAGGAGCCATAAATGTGTTGTGTTTACCCTGTATTTAGCTTATTCGTATTAATATGTCTGGACACAGATATATTTTGTTTCTCTGTTGGGAACAAAGCTGGGAGATCCTGACTGAGGCACTCACACTACGTTTCTCAGGGTCCTGTCGAAAACTGCTTTTTGGGTAATCTACCAGATAATCTTAATCTTGTGAGGGCCCCCTAACAGAGCTCCCTCCGCTCACACCACCACTTCCCCTCCATCCTACATCAACAGATCTGGAGCTCAAACCAAATGTCATAAAAAAAAAAAAACACTACCAAACAAAAATTGGTGGATAAGTAAAGACCAGATGAGGAGAGTAAGAATATTTTGAAAAGTAAATAGAATTACAACAGCTAAAGGGTGCAGGATTTCTTTGGAGGATGATGAAAATGTTCTGAAATTGATTGTGGTAATGGTTGCATAATTTTGTCAATAACCTAAAAACCCTGAGTTGTATATTTAAAAAAAAATAAAGTATATGATTGAATAAACTTTAACATATGTATATACCTGTGAAACAATCACTATAATCAAAATAATGAACATAATCTTTATTCCCAAAAGTTTTCTTCATGTCTCTTTGTAATTCTTATTGTTGTCTCTCTCTCAGTCCTCGAACAGCTGCTGATCTGCTTTCTGTCACTATAAATTAGTTTCTATTTTCTATAATTCTGTATAAATGGAATCATACAGTATGTACTCCTTTTGGGAAGAGGGCGTCTGGCTTCTTTAAGCATAATTATTTAAATTTTAGACATTCTAATAGGTGTGTGTTGCATTTCATTGTGGTCTTAATATGTATCTCCCTAATGACTAATGAATCTTTGCATGTGCTTCTTTGCCATCAGTGCACCTTCTTTGGTGACATGTCTGTTTCAATTGTTTGCTTGTTTTTAATTGGGTTGTTTCTTTTTTATTATTGAGATGTAAGAATTTTTTATATACCCTTTTATATGTCATTTGTCAGATACAGTTTTACAAATATTTTCTCCCCATCTGTGGCATATATTTTTTATTCTCTCAACAATATCTTTTTCAAAGCAGAAATTCTTAATTTCGATGAAGTCCAGTTAGCAATCTTTGACTACCTAAAGCCACGAAGATTTACTGCTTTGTTTTTTCTTAGGAATTTATAGTTCTAAGCTTTACATTGAGTCTATGATCTACTTTGAGTTAAGTTTTTATATAGTGAGGTATAAATAGAAATTCAATTTTTTTTTTTTTTGTATTTGGATATATGAACAGCACCATTTTTTAAAAAAAGACTATCTTTTCTACTGAACTATTCTACCTTTGTCAAAATCAATTGACCATATATTAGGCTCCGCATTCTATTCCAGTGGTCTCTTCGTTGGTCTGTTTTGTGTATCTTTGTTGTGATCTCTTTGTTGTATCTTTATAAGTCTTTAAGTCAGGTAATATAAGCCCTCCAACCTTGTTTTTTTTATTTTTTTCAAAATTTTATTGGATATTCTAGGTATTTTGCATTTCCATGTGAATTTTAGAATCTTTCAATTCCTAAAAAAAAAAACCTCTTAGAATTTTGATTGGGATTACATCGAGTCTTTAGATTAATTGGGTGATTACTGACTTCTTAAAAATACTGAGTCTTCTGATCCATTGAATATGGTATGCTTCTCTATTTAGTTCTTTCATTTTCCTCTGCAGTGCCTTGTAATTTTTACTCTTCATGTATTATACATTTTTATCAGGTTTATCTCTTAAATATTTCATATTTTATTCTCTTATTAATGGCATTAAAATGTTTTCTATTTCTGATTGTTGCTAGTATATAAAAATAAAATTGATTTTTATATCAATCTTGGATCATGCAACCTTGCTAAACTGATTTGTTCTTCCAGTTTTGTATAGAATCTCTAGGATTTTCTATATAAATGATCATGTCTGTGAATAAAGATAGTTTTACTTTTTTTTTTAAAGGCTTCATTTTTTTAGAGAAGTCTTAGGTACGCAGCAAAATTTAGAAGGTACAGAGTTCCCATATACCTCTTTTCCCCACACATGCATTATCTACGTCCCCCACTAGATTGGCATATTTGTTACAGTTAGTGAACCTACCTTGACACATCATAATCATCTAGAGTCCACAGTTAATCTTGGAATTCACTCTTGGTGTTGTATATTTATGGGTTTTGATAAATGTATAATGACATGCATCTGTCATTAGAGTATCAGAGTATTTTCACTGCCCTAAAGCCTTCTGTGCCCCAGTCTATTTATCCCTTCCTCCCCTTTCAACCTTTGGCAACTTCTGACCTTTTTATGGTCTTCATAGTTCTAACTTATCCAGAATGTCATACAGTTGGAATTATACAGTATGTAGCCTTTTCAGATTGACTTCTTTTACTTAGTGATATGCATTTAAGGTTCCTCTATGCCTTTTCATTTCTTTTAGCACTAAATAATATTCCATTGTCTGGATATACTAAATTTATCCATTCACCTGAAGAACATGTTGATTGCTTACAGTTTTTGGCTATTATGAATACAGCTGCCATAAACATCTGCATACATATATAACTTTTTCATGTGTCTTCGTGTGTATATAACTTTCCAACTCTTTAGGTAAATACCAAGGAGTATGATTGCTGGATCATATGGAAAGAGTAAGTTTAGTGTTATAAGAAATTGCCAAACTGTCTTCTAAAGTGGTTCCTTTCCCCCTCCCTCTGCCACCAGGAATAAACGAGAGTTCCTGTTGCTCCATATTCTCACCAGCATTTAGTATTGTTTCTAGATGTTGGCCATTCTAATATGTGTGTAGTGGTATCCTATTGTTTTAATTTGCATTTTCCTGATGACATATGATGTGGAGCATCTTTTCATATCTTTTTCATATCCTTTGCCAACTGTATTTCTTCTTTGGCGAGGTGTCTGTTAAGGTCTTTGGCCCATTCAGAGTTTTTTGGTGTGTATTTTGTATAATAGTTCTTTGTTAAGTATTTATTTTGCAAATATTTTCTTTCAGTCTTTGGCTTGTCTTATTTTCTTCACAGTGTCTTTCACAGAGCAGAAATTTTAAATTTTAACGAACTCCAGCTTATCAGTTTTTTTTTTTTCTTTCGTGGATCATGCCTTTGGCGTTGTATCTAAAAAGTACTTTCCAGACTTCCAGTTTCCTGTTCCACATGTAAGGGAAGCCACTCCATCCTACCAACCAGTAACAAACTGAACAGACTGAAAATTAACAACTCCTCTTGGATCCATTATAGAAGGGCGGGGTACAGGGCAGATCGCTTTCTGCAAGATTGGAGAGACAGACAAGTGAACACAGGGAGTCATGGCTTGCTGAATCAGAGACTCCCAAGAAGAAACCAGCACAGGAATGAGTGCTGGGTAGAAAAACTTGAACTGTAATTGATGAATTGCTGGAGGCTCAGTGTGGACAAGTGTAGAGTTAAAAACTCCAGGAGCACCCAGTCATAAAGGCAGTCCCCACAATTTAGTGAGATTTACATCTAAGAGCTTGACCTTGTTCTCACAGCAAATATCAGAGAAAAATCCTCTCATGCTACTGGCAGAGGGAGGGGGAAAGGAACCACTTTGGAATATGCCAGAGCACTCTGTTCTTAACAAGGTCTGCCCTCAGAAAAAGCTAGTTAACCAGAACTTAACCTGCTGAGGTATTATCAGCCAAAATGACCTAGAGGAGAGGAAATTCCTGAGTCTAGCCCACTAGCCATCTGTCCCACATAGAGCGGGGAGAAAAAAACTTTGAAACATTCATGAAGTTCATAGTCTAGAGGCATCGACTCACTGAAAGACTGAGACCTAATCATAGGACTATATGATACTGCCCCTCTCTCCACACCTCACCACCACATTTTAGTAAAAAGATCTGGTTATAGCAGTTCCTTTGACCTGTACATCATGTCTGGCTATTAAGAAAAAAAGACCATCTAAAAAGCAAAAAATTTAATTTGAAGAGACAGAGCAGGCATCAGAACCAGACATAGTAGGGATGTTGGAATTATCAGACCAGAATTTAAAACACCTATGGTTAATATGCTGGGGACTCTAATAGATAAAGTAGACAGCACTGAAAAACAGGTGGGCAATGTAAGCAGAGAGATGGAAATCTTAAGAAAGAACTGAAAAGAAATGTAGAGATCAAAAACACTAACAGAAATGAAGAATGTGTTTGATGAGCTTTTTAGTAGATTGGACACAGCTGAGGAAGGAATCTCTGAGCTTGAGATATCTCAATAGAAAATGACACCTCAAAAAGTGGAAAGCAAAGAGAACAAAGACTGATAAAAAACAAAATATCCAAGGACTGTGGGACAACTACAAAAGTTGTAACATATGTGTAATGGTAATAGCAGAAGGAAAAGAAAGAAAGGAACAGAGGAAATATTTGAAACAATGACTGAGAATTTCCCCCAAATTAATTTCAGACACTAAACCACAGACCCAGGAAGCTCTGAGAACACCAAGCAAGATAAGTACAAACAAACAAACAAAAAACACGCCTAAGCATATCAGTTTCAAAGTACAGAAAATCAAAGATTAAGTTATGAAAGAAGACAGAAGGAAAAAATACCTCACCTATAGAGGAACAAAGATAAAACTTATATTCAACTTCTCAGAAATGATACAAGCAAGAATGGAATGAAGTGAAATAATTCACCCCCCAAAACTCCACCAACCTAGAATTCTGCACCCTGTGAAATTATCTCTCAAAACTGAAGGAGAAATAAAGACTTTCTTAGGCAAGCAAAAATTGAAAGAATTTGTTGCCAGTAGACCTGCCTTACAAGAAATGTTTTTAAAGTTCTTTAGAGAGAAGGAAAATAATATAGATCAGGAACTTGGGTCTACATAAAGAAAAGAAGAATATCGAAGAAAAAAATAAGAGAATTATGTTTTTAAAAAGTCATTGCCACTCCTATGTT